CCCCCCCCCCCAGCTGTATGTAATTAAGCCCCTGTGTCACAGATTCACATTACCAAATGGCATTCAGTGAGTTAATTCTATCAACAAAGGAGTTTATTTATCTTTGTGGATTTTCTAGGCATCTTGTTTCTCTTGCCTGCATTTGATTGTCCCACTGCTCATGAAAGAAGGAAGAACTTACACAGTTTTCTTTACAACCCTTATCATGAATGTTTATTGTATCAAAAAGTGAATATTCTATCATGTGAGAAATTCAAAGAAAACCATTCACTGAACGGCTGTTCTGTGTCAGGGCACTATTCTAGATGTCTTAGATGAATAATAATAATAATAATAAAGCTATCTGTCCCACAATAGGCTTAGAAGCAGCATTCGAGAAATGTTTCATACATTTTAATCTATAAAATGAGTAGTACCTATCCTTGTTCATGATAAACTGGTGAATTTAATGGAGATGAAATGTTCTTAGCATTTGCAAGAATTCTTTGTCATGCTCCCTTTTCCTTTACTTAAACATGGACAGTATCTATGTTTTTCTCGGGTACTTATATTTTACCCCAAATTTATTTATGCCCTAGTCTGATTTTACCTTCTGAAGTGTAATCACCATAATGGCATGATAGAGGTATTATTAATCTTTATATCCTCTAAACTGACATTCAATTAATATTTACCGACTCAATGATTACATGAGCGAATGAGTACTTACTTAAATATTAGCTCCCAGGCCTTTCTGAACAGGGTGGGAATTGAAATCACTTATTTTGCTTTAATTTTGAACTTGTCTTAGTGCTTTTTATAAAGGCTGTAGCTAATGTAGCTTGTGATAAATTGCTTACTGGAAGCTTGTTTTTCATGAATTACATCAAGTATTCTTTCAAAAAATATTTCATAATTTAGGAAATAGGCTTTGTTATTTAATTTCTTCTAGTTCATATTATGGTTTTCTTATCAAATGCAGAATATAAGCCCCCACAGGGACCAGCATTTTTGTCCCTTTAGCTACTACATCCCCAGTACCAACAAGAGCCTGGCATACTCAGCAAATAGTTGTTGAAGAAGTTAATAAATAGAAAGTGGTAAGGTATTTAAAAATCTTTTTCATATTTAGGGTTTCTGTCACCACAAGTTTTTGTCTTGTAATTTTTTGATTAAGTTATAGCATGTGTGTAATAAAATGCACAAGTCTTGAATGTCTGACTTGAGAAAGTTGTATGTGTGTTCCCATTTACACACCACTGAGATCAAAGGACAGAACATTTATAGTCCCCTGGAAAGTTCACTTGCATCCCTTCCCAGTCATGCCACTATTCTGACTTCTAACTCCATTATTAGTTTAACTTGCTCCTGAACTTACTAAAAATAAAATCACAGTTGTTTTTTATCCAGGCTGGCTTCTTTTGCTCATTTCAGTTCTTGAGATTCTTTCATGTGGTTGCATGTAGCAACATAGTTTGTTTCTATTTTTTAATTACTCTCTAGTATTATAATAGTAGTATATGACTATTCTCTTTTACACAGAGTGTCCCAAGTATGTATAAATATGTTAAATAATTATTAATTACAATGGGTTAAATTTGAAAAGAAACACCAATTGAGCTATCAAAATATGTGTATACATTTTGGGGGGGACACCCTCTATTTATCTATTCTACTGATTAATGATATTTGAACTATATCCAGTTTGGGGCTATAAGAATAAATCTGCTTGAATATTCTTGTACATGTCTTTTGGTGGACAGTCATACTCCTTTCCTCCCTTACATATCAAGGAGTAGAAATACTGGTAAGAGGAGAAACCCCTATGGGGGTGAAACATAGGCTAAGCTTCAATAGATGTAAAGTTTACCAAAGTGGTTTTACCAATTCACACTCCTACTAAGAGTATAGCAAAGTTCTAGGTGCTCCATATCTTTACCAACACTGGGTATTTTCAATTTTTAAAATTTTAGTTATTTGCTAGGTGTATAGTGTTTTATTTTTTAAATTAAATTTATTAGGGTCACATTGGTTAATAAGATTGTATAGGTTTCAGGTGTAAATTCTATGATACATGATCTGTATATTGCATTGTGTGCCCAACACCCAAAGTCCAATCTTCTTCCATCACCATATATTTGACCCCCTTTTTTACTACCCACCCACCCGTTCCTTCCCTCTGGTCCACCATACTGTTCCCTATGTCTATGAGTTTTGTTTGTTTTACTTGTTTGTTCATTTGTTGCTTTCAGTTTTATATCCCACCTCTGAGTGAAATCAGTTTTAACCTGCATTTCCCTGAAGACTAGTAATGCTGAACATCTTTTCACATGTTCAGTGGCATTTGGATATCACTTTTTGTGGAGTTTGAAAAACATGTTTTTATTAACATAGATTAGTTTCCCCAAAAATCTCACCTCTAAAATTTTTATTATTTTAAATCTTAAATTCCATTTTTATGTTACTATCACTAACATATTAAGATATTAATTTTCTCAAGAGCTAAAATAATCAGAAGGGCTCTTCTGTATGTGGCAGCCTCCATCTCGTCTCAGCTCTACAAAGGATGTGCTAATGAAACAGAGCTTCCCTAAGCTGCCCTCACAGGCCCCTGGGCATCCCAGTCAGCCGCCAGGGAAGGGAAGGATACAGATGCCTTAGCAAGATCATCTCTGCATACCCTTTCTTAAAAAGAAAAGTTTAGAGATCGGCAGGAAATAACAATGGTGTCTGTAATCAGGACTAAACTAACTGATCTCCTTCAATGAGGAGGAATTTAAATTATTCTGTAAAGAATTGTTTGAAAGTTTGGAGCACTTTACTATTAAGTGATAATCAACCACTTCTTCAACATAAAAAAATCTTTCTACTTTATATTTCGCATGATATTGTAATATTTACATGGCATATACTTATGATGTTACACCCACTTTTTCACAATTAAATAGTATCAAAATATAATTTCAGTAACACTAGCTGGGTTTATGATAGGTGACTGAATTTTGGAGGAAGGGGAAGGTTGCTTAAATTTACCATACATTTTGTTCTAGGTATTGTGCTAGTTGATATGTAACCCTCCAATGTCATTTTAATGTAAGTTTATAAATGGTACTTCCAGAAAGCCAAGAATATACAGGAGAAAGGATACAAATACATACTTCTTTTTGTAACTACCACAATTTGATAAGTATCAATATTATTTCCTGTATTGGGAAGTGAAAGCCATAAAGTCCTAAAGGTGGACTTACATCATGTTGTTGATGTGTTTTGTCTATTTTTTGGTGGTATAAATCTCTCTTACTTTCCATTGATAGCACACTGGCTATTCTTGCCTTGCTTAGTCAGGAAAGAAAGTAGAGAATTTTTTCTATAGTAATTTTTGTTATCAATTGCTATGCCCTCCTTTTCACTATCAATTCCCATAGCATTTACAGATAAATAACAATACATAGGATTGTATGCTTGGTAGAAGTGGAATCCACATTTATCTGGGCTTTTCTTTATTTCCCTTCTCATTTGACAAGGTTTCATTGGCTCATGAGGCAGAAGGAAAGAACATAGTTCATTGCTTTTTTTCTCTGAAATGTCAAACAATTTATCATTTACAACAGGTTCATTAAAGCCAACCAAAGGGGTTTGGTCTGGAATCTCCTCTCTAGATGGTGGAGCATGCTGGTTTCAAACCCATGGTGATGAGTCATTCTGTAGAGTAGATCAACTTCCCACATCTGTAAATGAACCTCTGTACATAGAGTCACTTGGATTCCTTCCCTTAGCAGTGTGTGCTGTCCTCGACACATAATTTATGAAATGTAATAAATCATATATAATTATGAGCTTTTTACTTGAGTGAACTAATATGAGACATTTATTATAGAATAAGAAAAACTCACGATATTTCCATATTGACCTGCCTCTTTATTTACTAATTTATGTGACCTGGTTTTACTTCTTACTAATTTTTGTGATCTCTATCTTAACTTTCTCATCTGTAACATCAGATAAAATATAGTATTGTGAGAATAAAAGTAAAAATACAAAGTGCTTAGAGCAGGACCTTGCAATAATAAGTACTCTATAAATACTAGTGATAACAGTAAGAAGCGCATTCCTGTAAGTTAAGTTTGCCTATGAAATTGGTCACTCTGCTTTTGGACACAGGGAAAGATTTCATGGGCACTAATAAATGTTAATTAATTCCTCAAATCTTTTAATGACCTACCCATGTCAACTCATACAAAAGATAGTGTTTGGGAACAAATTGGCAAAACTAGTCCCATTCTACAGGAGATACGAAGCTGCCTAGGTTGATGCTCTACAATCCCAAATGGTTTGAAGAAGTGGGCCACTGTAAACCAATTATACACTAGGGAGAGGAATTTGAACAAAAAAAAATGTTTTTTCCCAGAAAAACAATTAAAAGAGAGCTAAATGAGAGAGAACAGCTCATCAGGATAAAAATCTTTATAAGCATCCTAGATAACAGGGATACAAATAATATTTGCATTTCATTTTTGCTTTTATTGAATTCTTCTATGGCCCTCATATACATTTTTTTATGGTAAGGATTCCTCTGACCTAATAAGAAATATGATTATCTCCATAACACACATGCATTTAGACACAGACATATGTTAAATTAGCCACACAAATGGAAAGTCCTAAAGATAGGCTTACACATCCAAACATTTGTACACGTTTGGCTGGACTGTCTGGCTTTTTCAATGAATATTTGCTGAATTAAAAGGAATACACACATGACCTCAACATCATCCCTCAAATGAGTAGCGTGTACTATATAATGAGGAAAAGGGACACGCTCATTGGCATAGATCACATTTACTAAATACCTAGATATAGGTCATGCTCATGTTTGAGGTGTTTGCATGGATTAGCCCATTTAATTTTCACATCTCCCTTTTATAACATCCAGAAAGTCAAGGGGAAACGGGCTTGATTGAGACTGGGAAGTAGGTGACTATTAAATGTGATTAAATACGTATTTACAGGATGTGTGACCTCAGCATGAACAGCTTCAATAGAGAGGAGACATCACACTGAGTCAGAGAGAAGGGGTCTAGATGACAAGGAAATGGAAGCCAAGAGTGCAGGGGGTTTTGCTGGAAATTAAGAGATGACTTGATTATAAAGATGAATGCAGACATGTTCAGGGAGCCCAGGTCAAGAGGACCATGATGTTCCTGTTTTCCCCTATCAAATGTATCTAATAGAGAAAAGTTGGGGTCCCTTGCACAGTGATGCTTGCTAGATAAAGATCATGAAATTCTTTAATATAGTGACAGACATTTTCTAACTCCTGAATGTTGCAACATTTCCAGATGATAATTCTTGGACTAATAAGTAATAATCTATCTTTCTCACTTACGACATTTAAAACCTAAGTGGAAAATAGGGCCACAGTATTACAGTTCAGAATGTGAATGAAATTTACATAAATTATGTAAAATATTCATTTTCATTTGTTTTCCTCTTATTTTTGTAATTATAAGTTGTGAAGCAATTTATTCTGCCAACAAATACTCTGGTCTGTCTTCAATAACAGAATCAGTTGGATGGGCATAAGAATTACATTAAAAATGAAGAGGTGTCATATATAAAACATTTTTTTAAATTGAAATTGCAAATGAGTGTTACTCATGTGTCTTTTTCGCATCACCCTTAATAACACGAATGCCCTTCCTCATTCCACTGATATTATATTGTGTGAAGTGTCTGCCCAGATACTTTCCCAGATTAAAGAACGGTGGATTGGTCAAGGAATCACAAGCTAGTGTCATTTTTTTTTTGAAATTCGAAGATTAATAATTTATAGAATTACAGTCACCAACATGGAAACCAGGGCTGAAAAGAAACAGCTTGTTGCCTTTTTAATATTCATGGAGGTCACATCTTTGCATTTCTACACCTGCCTGAATTTTAACTGACCCCACATTCTACACTCTGCTGTACTTTATTTTGGCTTTTTATTAAATTTCCCAACATTTCATTATCACCCATTTCTTAGATTTCTAATTTCCTCTGCTATTGCTTTGTCAAATCCACCCTCTTCCTTAAGTCTTCCTCCTCTTTTTCATGACATTTAAGAAAGTATGTGTAATCTTTCATTTATTAGGCACAGGACAATTAAATGTATACGTTTTTATACTCAGTTGTAATACAAAATTCTCATGCTATACTTTCAAATTAAAATGCATATGTGGGAGAATTGTCCATCATTTAAACTTTTAGTCATCTGCCTTTTTTAAGAACGATAAATAAAATAAACATGCCAATGTATGTAGTCCAAATAATGAACAAATATGTTGTGTTAATAGAAATACAGAATGACACAAAAAATTCCTTTGAGCTCTTTGGCAGTAGCCACACTTTGAAGATGACCCATGAGGACATCCTGATTTAAGAAAGTTTAAATTTGACTGTAAAAGTTTGAGTGAATCAGACAAATTTCTAATGTACGCTAACATATCCCATAAGGTTTCCATTGGGAGACCTTGAAAATGAAATCTATGACATATACATGACATTATTTGATAATCGCAACAAATATATGAGTCAAGTGTTACTGTCTATAACTCACCATCAGAAAGCGTAACCACTGTTACGTCGTCCGTGGAGACTCCTGGCCCATAGCGATTATAAGCTAGGAATCGAAGAGTATATTCCGTGAATTTTTTCAGGCCTTCCAGCTTATAAGACAGTCCATCAACCTCTATATTCTGGAGACATAAAATGCCAAAACTGTTATTCAAGAAGCACATTAAAGCAGAAATGGCAGCCATTCTGTTCAGTTGGTAAATTGGATATTAGACTCTTACTCACAAAACTACACTCTGGCTTTATAACGAGTTGTTGTAAAGCCTGCTTGTGACATACACTCCCCCACTAAAGCCCAGACCACTCTGTAGACTCCTAGTTAAAACAGCACCATGCTATTTTTACAGTCATTAAGTTCCAATTTGTTTAACACCAACTAATGCATTGAATAGTGTGCCCACACTGAGCCCCTGGCATGCAGAAGGCAGCTTGTAAATCCAGGGGAACAGGGAGCTGCTCCTGTACCCTTAGTGATGTAGTTCCCCATGAAACAGTAGATTTCTTTCTTCCCTGGCTGAAATATCCCCACGTCTCTTAAAACTGACAGATAGTTGGCCACAATTTTTATCTGTCAAAATGCTGTGAGGTAGGTTTGCCTCTGTTCTCAGCCCTTCACAGCGGCAGAAATGAGGTGCTGAAGGTGAAGGTCACTGAGCAATCAGAGCCACAAGACCCATTACTTAGCTCTCCACAGCGACCCCCTCATTCACATCTATCTTGGGAAACATCATTTTGGAATTTATTTAAATGGACTGGTGATATGCATTATTGAAGAGCTAAAACATGTAGAAAAGTGGAGAGAGTAGAAAGATGAAAATAAGAGCTAAAGAGCAAGCAAAAAACCAGAATGAGCGGTTACGTAGGAGGAACTCTTAGTAATTCTTATTTTACAATATGACTTGGGAATTAGATCTATTTCTGAATAGAACTGTTGCAAAACAATTTTTAAAATGAAAGACCTCTATCACGCAGTTTATGTGGAAGCGTGAAGAGCACACTAGGCTTGGCAAACTTCACAACAAACCCAGGATCTCTGCTGTCCCAAGGTCACCTCTCTGACTTTCCCATTTAGCTGCACACTTTCCTATACATCTTTTTGCCTATGAAGTTGAGAATCATATATATGTCACAAAAGAGAACTGCTGAGTTCCCTGTGTCTCCCTAAAGACTGATTCACTATTACTTGACCTGAAAATACAGTTTGCCTGTTTTTGGGTGTCTGTACTAACTACAGATTGGAAACAAAATGTACGAAAAATGAAGATAGCCTTCTAGAGTAAGGCAGACTGAAAAAAACTGAAACTGATAGGTGACAGTTTGAGGGTGAGGAGAAGACAGAAATACCATCAAATATATGAGAATGAAAACAGCAATTGGGGTGAGGTCAATGACTGTAAGATAAATGCTCCCTTAGGGTAAGGGCTGAAAATGCAAATGCTTTCTGGGACCAGATGAGTTAATACAAATGTAGTTACACTGGCCCAGGCACCTACACACGCAAACAAAACATTGGTATCTTTTCTATTGATTCATCTCATTACCCATTTGCTCTCTTAGCACCAGAATTCAATTAAATTGCTCAACATTTCCAGTAACAGGTACTTTAAAACTAATCAGTTATCCAACTGATGTGCTGGACACTGGACTAGACTTCAAGAGCTTACAGATCGATCGCTTATTTCTCTGGCCCTAGAGCCATCCAACAGGTGGCAGGGGTGGGGCCCATTTCCTCGCCTACCTGTTCCTTCCCCGTGGACACCTCAGTGCAGAACAATCTGTAACCTTGAACCGGACCATTTGCATAGGCAGGGGGCTCCCAGGTAATAAGTATTGAGGTAGGTGAGGTAGATACAGCTTGCAGGTTTTCTACTGGCCCTGGAACTTGCACTGTACACAAGAGAAGTTGATTAGTATAAGAGGATTCTCTTTCTCAAAACAATAAGAATTACATCTTTTACAGGTCAAGGAAATTATGGCAGCATGTAGTATTTTTAAAACCATATGAAACAGGAATGTAAAACTATAAAATATGCCGTAATGAAATTTTAGTTATTTCTCCTTTTAGAATTCAGAAGAGGATTTTACTCATCTAAATTTCTTATTTCATTTTACAGTTGAAAAAACTGGTCAAAGAGTGTAAGTGACTAGGATAATAGCAGGAAAAGATGGGGCTCTTAATCTAAATTCTTCGTCTGGAAAATGTTCCACTATGTCAGTATGCTTTGGCCTGAGCATTGCTAATAGCTGCAGAGGGAAAAGAGGAACTACAATGAAAATACTTGCACATCTTGTTTCTACTTACAATTCAAATAAGCAGCGCAGCTATGGATAATTTACCACATTCATTGTCTTTACGTCAGCATTTTAAAGTCTTGTCCAATTCTGGGTCCTTTACATTAATTTCAGCATTTAATTTTCAATTTTACTTTCTAGTATTCCATTTTCTCTCATAAGGATGACTTAACTTAATCAAGGGTAAGTAACTTCCTCATTAAAGTAATTAGATAGAACAGGTCTACAATCACTTAAGCAAATGCTTGTGTCCAGATGTGTTTTCAGATCCAGGAATTTTCAAGTTTTAGGAAGGTAAAATAGTGGATATGCAGTGTTTCATGTAAGACCCTTGGTAGGGTCTGTGGTAGCACCATTGTCAGATCATATATTTTCAGCAAAACATATGATATTCATGCCAAATCGATTTATTAAAGACTATACATAGTCTAGTGTAAGATCAGGTCTGGGTACAAAATGAGTTAAGAAAATCCTTTGGATTTCAAATTTGCAAATTTTGAACTTGTGCATATTTTTAATTTTTGCAAATATACCTAAATATAAATATAGGGTATGTAAACGAAATGTCCATGTTATTTATTGTAATCTAAAATAAATAAATAATTTCAGCATCGCAAGTATAACTGTGTTAACATGCCGTGTATGTTCCCTAGTCTTGGATGCCACCAAGCTTTGGACAGCTATACACTAAAGGCCTACATTACAATCCTGTGAGTTTGAACTTCCATAGCAAAATAGCATATGAAAACCTGGCTGACATATTTGATGATACATTTCTCAGATCTGCATTGAACCTATGTCTCTGGGTCATTTTTCAGAATTTGTTCCACAAAACCCAGCCCCCTTAAGGCAGTACTGCTCACACATTCATTTGGAAAAAATAAATATAGTCATATCAGAAACACATATTTTATGTCACTTTCACATATTTTCCCACCCGTTGCCAAACCATGAGAACCCTTATTATTGACAGTTGCATTCTTTTCAACTTAACAAATGATTGTTAACAATTTCTTAAAAAACTTATTTGGAAATCATTTGAAGCCTGCAATTTTAAGAATGAGAATAATACAAAGAACACCCATGTTCCCTTTACCCAGATGTACACGTTGTTAACACTTTGCTCTCTATATTTTAGCATTATCTACCTCTGTACATATACAGTCTTTTTATATATGTTCATAGATTGCATTATCACTTACTATTGTAGAGTCTATGTGTAGTAAGTGATAAAGGCTACCTATAATCTATATATAGTGATAGATGCACTATATAAATACATATTGAGAGAATATTTATCTATTATCTCTTGATAGAAAAAATTTATATCTATATCTCTTTATTCAGATAAAGTTGTAAACACATAGCTCTTTATCCTTATACATTTTAGTGCATATTTCGTAAGCACTAATGTGTACATAAGCAATATAGTTATTAACTCCAGTGCATTTCATATTAATACAATATGTTAATCGAATCTTCACCTGCATTGAAATCACATCAACCGACCCAATGTTGTCATTTATGTGAAGTTTCCTTCCCAAATCAGGATCCAGTCAAGACCAGGTTTCCATGTCCTCACCCTGCCCCTGTAGTCTGCTTTAAGCTGAAACAGTTCTAAAGCCTTTCTTTATCTTTTCAGCCATTCATAGTTTTGAAGACTATGGTCTTTTTTATTAACAGAATGTTCCTCGTTTTGGGTTTGTCTTTATTTCTCCATGTTGAATTTAGGTTATACATTCCAGTGGGAAATGAAAGGGTAAGTGGTGTCTGCCCTTCTCAGGGAATCACCTCCAGAGGCACGAGACCTTTCTCAGTCACTCAGATGTGAAGTCTGAGTACCTGGTCAAGGTGCTGTCAGATTTCTCCATTGCAGAATTAACTGTTCCCCCTGCACTCCCACCCCAGCTCTGGCCCCCTGCTCCACCGCTTACAGCTAATAAGCAATCTGTGGGGAAATGACTACATTAGGACCATGTAAATAGCATATGCTTTATCAGCTTCTCTAAAGTCAGCATCTACTAATGGTTCTTGATGGAATCAATTTTTACCAGGGTGATTGTAAAGGTGATTATTTTTCTATTCAAGCACTTCTTCTGCATTAGCGACTTGGCACTCAGAATTCTATTAAAGCAAGAGCCCATATTTTTTCTATTTATGTATCTATTATTGTTATGGGGACATGCATTCCTTCTTTTTTATGGTCTACAATGCATTACTGTCCTTAATTATTTGGATGTTTGGATTGTGCCAGATTTGGTCACTGGGCTCCTCATTAATCTGGTTCTTCTGTCCTTGTGACATCCCCATCATTCACTAGAGTACTTCCTTTCATCATATATTCTAGGCTCATCTTGATCCTGCCCCAGCTCTGGAATCAAACATTTGTGCAAAGGTTCTGGGTTCCTTTCAGGGGGAAAGGTATTCAATACAAAGGTCTGAGTGTTAGATGTGCTCATTGCTATCTGGGTGTTCTTGCTTCTAGATCCTTTCAGCAAACAAGAGACATATGACTGCATATATACATACATACACAAATGTACACATGCATTCAAATACTCAGACATACAGCTACAGATGCACATTTCTCATGACTCTACAGGGATGCCTCCTGTTCCACTCCATCTCTACAGGGCTCATTATTGCATCCCGCATTTTTCTTATAGGTCCTTTCCTCCACGAGACTTCTGGCTCCCAAACAGTTGCATTTTGAAAGGCACTTTATGAGAGCCCTAGCCAGTTTGGCTCCATGGTTAGGCCAACACTCTTGTCAGCATGCAGACTGAAGGGTGCCAGGTTTGATTCCAGCCAAGGGCATGTGCCTCGGTTGCAGGCTCAATCCCTGCCCCAGGTTGGGGTGCATGTGGATTTCTCCCTCCCTTCCTCCCTTCTACTCTCACTGAAAAGAATGGGAAAAATATCCTCAGGAGGATTTAAAAAAAAAGAAAGAAAGAAAGACACTTTATGAGATGAGAGCTCCCCCACATTGGTATTCTTCCAGGAAGGGATCACTTTTCTATGGAAAATCCCCTATTCCACAAAGGGGACTTTAGTAGACAATACCAAACAACAGGGACTCTTGCTTGTGTCGAAGCTTATAGTGATACAATTAGAACTGTATTATAATGAAAGAGACATTTTGCTTCGGGGGGGGAGCAAAGCAAATTAAAAACTTGCCCAGCGATATTGTTCGACTAGATTTTCAAAGTGCAATATTTTAAAGAACAATAATAAAAAATCAAACAATTTGCATGCTTCTGTGATTGCACAAAGACAATGCAAACAGCTCCTGAGGGAACAGTTCTGATTTGGAGTCTCCTGCTCTTCTGAGGAAGGTAGATGGCAAACAAAGGAGGAGAGCTGAGGCTCAGCAGCCGGCTAGGATGCATGCGGAACGTGAGGGGCGCAGGGGTCTGAAAGTACACAGAGCGTTTCTGTACAGACTGAGTGTGTCCCTTCTCACTGTCCCGTGGCTAAAATAAAAAAGCACTGCTCACTACTAACATGGCTCATTCTGAGAGCAAAGACTAAGGTTTAAAAATGGCCAAACTCCAAGGCCATCAGTCCTGACGAGAGGTATCACATTCAAGGACGGTCCCCAGGGCAGAATGGTTCCCAGGACGACTCGGAGAGGAGTGCATGGAAAAGGTGTGTGTGGGGGTGTTTAGGGAGTCTCTGCTCATTTGTTCCACTGGAGGACAAGGGGGTAATGGAAAACAATTCAAATTCTTCTCAATTTTTGAAGAGCAAGCCACCTGAGAATCTGGAAGCAGCAGCTGAGGGGGCTGCCTAGCATGGTAGGGGCAGGGCGCGCACAGCCTGCTAAACAACGACTTGTTGAGGGCACAGGGATCAGGCATGCCAACCTCACAGCCACTTCCATCAGGCATGTGGGAAGAACAGGTCACAGGGGCATCTGCAGCTCAAGGCAGCAGCCCCACAAGAACAAGCATTAGGCCACACTCCTACCCTGCTGAGCTCAGCCATGGCTGCCTAGGGCCCTGGTTTTTGGTCCAGAGAACGGTCAAAACCCTCCACTTAGTGTTCCAAGTAATAAGAGCAATTCCCTTCTCTACAGGAATATTCACAATGCTGGGTATACAGTATTTAATAAATGTGTGTCAAATGAATGACTTTATGTACAATTTCCAAAGGTTACTGCAAATCATAAACCCAAAATAAACTATGAAGTCTAACTCATTTGATGTAGTTCATTCAGCATTGTCACTACAAGTAATCATAAAATAGTGTCCCAACACAGCTGTTGAGAACTTAAATTGGCATGTATATACATGTCTGTCATATATGTATGTGTGTGCACTTTGCCCACATTTCTTTATGTGCATGTCTAGCTTAGTCATCAATGAGAGAACACCAGGCTGTAAGTGCCATTACTTGGATTCAGGTCACACTGGTAGTGCCTCCTCTGATCACCTCAATCCACTGAATTAGTCTCCCTTCCTAATAGTCATTAGATACTATCAGGAAAAAACGTGTGCCTGGATTTCTAGAACAATTTCAAGCAGAACATACAGACACCTAAATTAAAATGTTTAAGTACTCACAGACAACTGTATGTGTTTTCGCCAGTTTCC